CGTGTGTGTGTGTGTGTGTGCGTGCGTGCGTGCGTGCGTGCGTGCGTGCGTGTGTGTGTGAGAGAGAGAGAGAGAGCCTGACTGACCTGACCTCTGAGAGCGAGAGAAAGAGGGGGAGGGAACAGGAAAGCGAGCGAGAGAGGGACAAGAGAGGTCGAGACACGCCCGCCCGCACGCACGCACGCACGCACGCACGCACACACACACACACACACACACACACACACACACACAAAGAGAGAGAGAGAGAGAGAGAGAGCGAGAGAGAGAAGGGGAGGGACAGAGATAGAGATGGATGGATTAAGGTCAGAATCCCACCCACACACACACCCACACACGCGCACTCACACAGCCACACACAGTTCCTTATTCGGTTTAGTAATAATGTGAAATGCGTGTTTCTCGCATCCGTAATACCCTACCACACTCGGTTTACAAAGCGCGAGTAGTATTATATCAAGAGCGGATTATTAGCTCTTGATTATATCCACACAATGCTAAAAATAAAAATGAATGGGGATTACGCAAGCGTAGTGCAGAGAGTCAGCATTCGCGCTGACGTTAGGCTTTTCTTTTGCAGTGAGGAGTTGTTTACTGCAGATAGGAGAGTTATTAGTGGTGCAATAAGATTTAATATACATTAGTTTTATTTTTACTGATTTGTTGGAACTGCCAGTGTCCCACCTCCACGACATTCGTCTGCTGATATAATCAGGAGTAAGATAATATAGAATCTTATTAGAGAATTCTATATTATCTTACTCCTGATATAATGATATCCCGTGCGCCCCACTACCAGGCAGACGAGAGCGGTACAGGGTGCATTCAGGGTGCATCCTGATAGCACAACCCGCATGCCTTTCTATTGGTAGATTCAAGAGCTTGGTAGATTTGCACCGCGACTACCCCCCTCCCCCCCTATACACACAGAGGTGCGCACCGCTTATACCTGTTTATTTGACGCCAGGTGAAGTGAACGATTTGATATGCACGACTGGGGGCTCACATATGATTTTTAAACACTTCGCGGTGAAAGGCATATGATCGTGTGACGTTTCAGTGCAGTGACGTAATATGTCACAAATTATGACATGTATGCGTTTCACCTACTCTGTATCCAATCAATGTGTTGAAACATCAGCTAGAACAGAGCACGTATATCATATGATGTATACGTGCTCTGGCTAAAACCATCAGCAGTCGTTCACGAACGAGAGCAGCGCCACCTGGGAACGGGTTAAATAAGAGGTGCTAAGCTTAGGTTTCTGCATGAACGCTGTTTTAAATTATACGCTATGATGTTTTCTTGTCAAAATACATTGAACGGGCGTAATCGTAACTTTTTGCAACTCTTTGTCTTCTTATTATTTCGTCTTCTTTTCTTCTTCTTCTTCATCTTTTTCTCCTCCTCTCCCTTATTTTTTCTTCTTTTTCTTCTTCTTCTTCTTCATTTCTTCTTCTTATTCATCTTTTTCTCCTCCTCTCCCTTATTTTTCCTTCTTCTTTTTTTTTCTTCTTCTTCTTCATCTTCGCCTTCCTTATATTATAATATTATTTAATTTATCTGGCAGAAGAAGTCCATGTTTAATATTAGTTAATTTATCAGGTGTGAGGGTGAAGACAATAATTATACTCACGACTTGAGACGCTGACAGTGCGTTATCCATACCCGCTATCAGATGCAGATATTCACCTAGCTATGTAGCCCTGCCAGAGCGCCCTGTTCTAGCTATGTAGCCGTGACAGAGCGCCCTGTTCTAGCTATGTAGCCCTGACAGAGCGCCCTGTTCTAGCTATGTAGCCCTGACAGAGCGCCCTGCATTATATCAGCAGACGAATGTCGTGGAGGTGGGACACTGGCAGTTCCAACAAATCAGTAAAAATAAAACTAATGTATATTAAATCTTATTGCACCACTAATAACTCTCCTATCTGCAGTAAACAACTCCTCACTGCAAAAGAAAAGCCTAACGTCAGCGCGAATGCTGACTCTCTGCACTACGCTTGCGTAATCCCCATTCATTTTTATTTTTAGCATTGTGTGGATATAATACTACTCGCGCTTTGTAAACCGAGTGTGGTAGGGTATTACGGATGCGAGAAACACGCATTTCACATTATTACTAAACCGAATAAGGAACTGTGTGTGGCTGTGTGAGTGCGCGTGTGTGGGTGTGTGTGTGGGTGGGATTCTGACCTTAATCCATCCATCTCTATCTCTGTCCCTCCCCTTCTCTCTCAAACTCTCTCTCTCTCTCTCTCTTTGTGTGTGTGTGTGTGTGTGTGTGTGTGTGTGTGTGT